ATACATACGTACAACGCTTGGTATACAAGAGTGGGGAGGGCTACAAAGCACCGCACAAAGAAGAGACGAAGAATAGGAATCGCTGTACTGTATTGTATCTCATTCTCTCGCAGGGCAAATCCCATAGATTTTTATGTTTGTCTCTTTTTAGTGTCACTTTTTCATTTCATCAAGTCTCAAATCACTCCCAACGATTCTAAAGAAGTTTTCACTTCAAAAAATAGGAAACAATGTTACGTTTAAATTTTGTCTTAACGTAACTGAAGATTTCGAATAAATTCAGTAATTAATTCAGGTATTTGTGAGGGTATTTATTTTATAAAACTGTATACCTGGGGATTAATATTTTTCAGTAATTGATAGGTTGCTCATTGAATTACACTAGATTTCTACCTTTTTGTTTGGATGCGAAACAATATCTATATAGTTGTTGAACAAGGGTATATTTTTCGAGGTAATAATAGGTGAATTCTTTGTATTCAGATGACAGGGTTGTTTTAGGATAATAAAGCCCTACTGTTAGGATAGGAATCCACTTTATTTAGTAGAGATGTGAAATACAGTTACTTTTGACTACTCATAACTATTCGTTACTTTTTAGTAATGTACTCGTTAGTAAATATTCGTCTCTGAAATACTCGTTCTGACTGGAATATATTATTGAATCTGGTCGAAGGTTGAATAAACAAAAATATGTATGATGATAATAATATTTAATATAATATTATTTGGTATACACAATAAACAAATACAAATAACTTAACCCAAAATTTCAAAAACTCGAACACATTTTTTTGCGCACTGCACTTTCAAAATGTGAATTTGGTGCGCAATGCGCATAGAGAATTTCGATTCGAGTACTCAAATAACTATAGCGCCGGCGATTTTTGTATTCGTTATTTCGGATCCGGGCAAGTAACGAGTACTCGAGTAACGAATAGTTACTTTTCTGACACCTCTATTATTTAGCTTTCGAAAGTCTTCTAAAAGGCCCTAAACGTCGATGAAAAGGTTTGTTTACTTCCAAATAAATATCAATTGTCAACACTTACGAGTCACGTAATTTCCATTATTAAAAACTCTGCAACAACACGAATCACTTTAGCACACTTTAAATCGATTTTCCACCCTTATTTCCTCTATTTTTCTCATTTTTCGGTTGTTTACTTCCCTCAAAATAAGTGGGGTTAAGTGACACTTGTTGATTCGTTTCAGGCAGCACTGTTGCCGACGTTCCTTGACCACTGTGGATAATAGAGTGACTGTAGTTGTGACCCCTAAAGAGTCACAGGTGGTCAATTTTTGACCGTTCGCAAATATAGAAACGTATGTAGATTGTTCTTAAATCTGCGAACAGTCATAAGTTCTGATTTTTGACCGTTCGCAAAGTTTCGTATACGCATATTTTCATTCGCTTTTCTGCGAGCGGTATTCTAGTTGCCTTATTCTGTTTGCGTATACGTTTTTCTTGTGTCAAGTAGGGATGTTAGGTTGTGTTTTTGTTTGTCAATTTGTTTGATAGCGATTTTATTGTTGGATTATTGGGTATTTACTATAATATGGAAGACTTGATGAATGTGCTGGCAATTCGTAATTTGGATAACGCAACCATCGACATAACCCCCGTGATCCATTCGTAGAGCTAAACCAAAGACAACTTATTGATATTGTTTCGATTGTCGAAAGAGCTTGTGAGATATTTGGTTGAATGTTTAGAACCTCATATACGTCCGGCACAACGACAAACAGATTATGTCTTGACTAAGCTAGGCAATGAATGTTATTTTTCAGGTTGTTTTGCAATATTTGTTACAGTTAGTTTAATGATGCGGTACTACTCATAGGTCTTAATTGCGTTGAAATTTTACGCAAGCAAGCGGTAGCTATCAACCGGATTAGCTGTGGCTTGATTTTCACATATTCCACAAGAAGTTTTTTCTGCTTTTCACTGGCATTCGCACCCTCTCTCTTTTTGTTTTTGCCACTGCTTTCCTAAAAAGGCAAAAACACGTCAAAAATGTGTCAAACATTCTAAATTTTCCGACATTGCCAAATCAACCATACCTATGTTTACGAATTCGCATTATCCATTTGCGCACACCGGTCAAAAATGGGTTTATAGATACGTATACGTTTATTTTTGTTCGCAAATTTTCGAATACGCAATTTAACGTATATTGTCAAAAATTGACCCCCTGGTGATTTTGATAGTTTTTAGACTGAAGATTGGGTAGATGTTGATTAATAACTTCTATAAGTAATTAATTAGTGTTGATTGGTGTTAGGGGAGAAAATTTGATAACAACTTTGGGTTTCGTGGTCATCATTGTGATTTGGGTTGTTCCGTTTCAAGCTGTTTGTTCCGCTTTCCTGGTCGAGACCGGAAATCTGGCACCAGAGGTCATCTTGAAAAAAACTGGAATTCTAGAATTTTTTTTATATTGAAGCTCACCTAATAAATCGCTGAAAAGGAATCGTTCTCTTTTAAATTCGCACGTTGAGCAAACAACAAGTTCTTTGGCAGATTTTACCAGCGGTCCTTCCTTGCTTCGTTCCTTGGAACATCCACCTTTTTGTGGGATTTTGAAGGCGCTGGGATTGCAAGTGGTTGCTGGCTTAAATTGGTTTTGGGGTCAAAGCTTTGAATTTGGTCGTTAGTCCCCGTATTTGTAAGCCAACCACACAGCATTTTCTGGAAACGAAGTCCACGCCATTTTGTTGATTTGTCGTGTGAGCACAGGAGCACGTTTTATTCAACTAGAAGCCCAAATTGTAACCAGGATTTTTAGTTTGGATTTTGCCTGTACCATTGGGTTTTTCCTCTTTGACGGTTTACAAATCTCGAAGTTGAGGTGTCAAGAGTACCCACAACTCTGAATTGAAACTGAAATTCACATTTTTAAGAAGGGAGTCAATAGAAGTTGATGGGTCTGTCATCAGGGCTGTGAGGCTGTCAGGAGACAGATGTAGAAATGAGTATTTTGACTGCAGGGAGGACCAAAAAGGGGTGATGTACCCGTAATAGTTATTTGTGTACCAAGGCCGTAAAGTTGATCTTTTTTGGCCGAATCAGAAATTTGCGGCCGAGGCGCAGCCGAGGTCAAGCAAATTTCAGGTGAGGCCAAAAAAGAGCATTCGGCCGAGGTGCACACAAAATTTTTTAGGCGAGTGTTTGTTCTTGAAAAAAGAATAAAATTCAACAGTAACTTTAAACTTTATTGATCAAATAAATAATCCAGCAAAGATAGGTAGATACACAATTAATAATAACAAAAACTACGATAAAGAGAGTGTGATTATAGAAAAAATTGTTTATTTTCACCAAAGTAGCGACCGTAAAGTAAAAGCGGCCGTGAAGTAAAAGCGGCCGTGAAGTAAAAGCGGCCGTAAAGTAATAAAGCAAATGCGGCCGTAAAGTAAATGCGGCCAAAAAAGATATACTTTAGGGATGATATTGAATCCGTAAAACTAATCTTTTTGTGACAGTCGCCTAAAAATGTATTATTTGTTAACGTTTCTTATTTATTATTTTTAAATATTATTAATGGTATTTCTGATATTCACTTGGTATATTTCCAAGGTTGTTTTACTGCCTTAATTATTACAATGGGTGTACAGTACCAATGATTTTTAATGTACTCTATTTAAGGTGACATTTTTGTACAAACCCGCCCCGGTATACAATGGTATAAGCGTGCACAGGTTTTAATTAATATTATTAACATCTTCAATAATTATTTGTTCTCTTCTACTCTCATTGAACTAAGGTAGTCAAACATTTATTTTATTCGTGAATCTTAAATTTATTGCAGTGTCTTTTATAAGGCCACATTGGTCCTTACTACATTTTGTTAATTCTGGCATTTACTTTTAATAATAATATATATTGTGGTATTTTACATATTGCCTTATATTGGCCTTTGCAATTCTAAACACACCCCCCCCCCCCCCCCCATTTTATTAAATAGATTTATAGTAATTGTTTTTAGATTTGACTTTTATTTTACCCCTACTGACCTCAACCAAACTAAGGTAAAGTTATTTTAAAGGATAGGTACATCGGGTAGGTACATTTTTATAGGAATTTTTGAGATCGGGGACTTTTTGGTTTAAGTCCGCGGATTGTATTTTGTAAACCAGTGGCGCCCTATTAAGCTAACTTTAAATATTGAACCTACTCCCACACCACTGAGTAGCCGCGAGCACTATGTTGCGCTGGCCGCATTCCTTAAAAGTGTCTTACTGTACCAGGCCTATTAGGGTTTATTATTTCAAATTCTTTATTCAAACAGTTTAAGGGTAATTTTGTGTGCAACAACAAGTTAACAGGTATTAAAAGTGGCTTGAAATAATATTGAAAGTTAAATTTTAAGTTCAAGACTCAAACTTCAAGCAGAGCACAATAATATATAGGCAAGACACAGTCCGAAAAAAAATTAGGCAAAATCTGCCACAAACGAAAAAAATAGATGTTAAAGGTTCAAAACATTATCTGAATACAATATTTTGATTCAATTAAGTACTTAACTTGCCTTGCCGCAAACCACGAGTGCTGTAATACATCTCATTTGGACCTTGTATAGGCTTAACAGATGGCATTACTCACATTTGTATATTTCCATCTAGGAATGATTCTGATAACTCAACAAGTTGGTATTAGAACATTTGCTTTTATCTCCTGTTTTGATTTTCCCTTTTTCAATTTATCTCAAAATAATAAAGATTCATGTTCAATGCACCACACAGGGAAATTAAAGGGAAAAATTACCGGATGCGGAAACATATTTTAAACGAATTGGGTCGCAAATATTTGCACACGATCGTCAGCAGTGTAGGCATCATCAGAGCTCGCAGAAAATTCAATAAAAGTGTCGTTCCGAGCGTTGATTTTAATTCGAATCAGTGCCGCAGTTTCCACACCGCGGGCGCCCAATTTACCAACTCCTAAATTTCCACTATATAATTTTTAATGGGAATTGAAAGTTTTTTTTTTATTTCAGGGTGATTTGGTCCAAATGAAACCTGTTCCTTCGAATGGTAGTATCGAACTCAAAGCCAAGTCTATAGAACTACTTGTGGTGCTCCACGGATTACGTCATGAAAACCTAAATCCTTTAATAGGTAAGCAAAACTGGTTTTAAAACAAACTTTTGTGAATTTAAAAATTTTTCCGGAAAAAGAAAAATATAAATACTTTGACCCCAATGACAAAAAAAAAATCCATAACAAAACCGTTTTTTTGAATTTGCATTTAATTCATTCAATTCCTTTTTAATGGGTTTACAAATCCTCGTTTATCCAATAATCTCGTCACAATGCCAGCAATCCAAAAACCCAAAATTATAACAATTTTTACCTTCGCCGAAACCTTTTTGTTTAGCGTTTGTTCATTGTCCGTGGGTATTAAATTTGGATCGAGCAATTACCGTTTTGTTGCTCGGAAGTCGATTTTTACGACAAAATGAAATTGGATTTCGGAATAATGGTCGATTATTTCCACTAGCTAGAATTATAGAACTTCGAAGAAGAATTAAATGCATACACAATCATTTTGCGATCATCATCGAAATAAGATGTCAGCAAATTTGGAGCGTATGTATTGAAAACCTTTGTGAGTGAAAATTGTGATTTGAATTTTCTTTTAAAAAATTCTTTCGTTTTTCGTAGTTTTAATTTTCTTTTTACCTGAACTCTTAACGTGGCCAAGAGCTTTTCCCGCCTTGCAATTTAGGCCCTGATTATTTGCAGTTTCGCTTAGAGGCAAAAGAATACAAAGTAGTGATAATTAAAGCGATTTTTTTTTCTAGTTTCATCTAATTTCAAGTCCTTCGCAGCTGCAAAAATTTTCTGCATGATTACCCATTTTGTTCATTTACTTTGTACCGTTTCGTAAATTGAGAATCCTTTGTAGAGGGTTTAAGGAAATATCTACTAAACTATTTGAGCTTTGAACGAGAAAATTGTCAATTTGTTCAAAATAGAGTTGAAATTTTTTAGGGACTATGTGACACTGTTTTAAGCGGGCTACGGACGATGAGCGATAATATAATATATATTATAGCTTAGCAGTAAGCTATAATATTATATTATATTATCACTGCAGCGAACTAGAATATATATTTTTTATCTTTTAAATTCATGTTTATAAGCTGTGATCCAGTAATCTATTATATGGTGTAGTTGCAGAATGGCGAAAGTGAAGAAGTAGTAGTAGTAGTAGTAGTAGTAGTAGTAGTAGTAGTAGTAGTAGTAGTAGTAGTAGTAAAATTTATCACAATAATTCAGTGAATTACATTATTTTCTCCTTACAACAATAAAGCAGAATAATGCAAAAAGGAGTTGGAAGGCAATTCAGAATTGTTCGAGTCCAGCCCCTTTCATTTTCTCACATGCTAACTGCTTAACGCTTAATTGGCCGCTCTGGCGTAAAAAGTACGCCATTCGAGTTCAAACACGTGACATACTGAAACTAGCGATTGGCCGAAGGTGGTCGCCTATGTAACCTACCACCATGGTGTCTTGTATACACTGGAAAAGTGGCGATCCAGTAGGTTTCCATTTCGCTTCCCTGCAGGGCGCTGAGCGACAGTTTATGATTTTTATTTTTATAATGGTTTATAATACGATTTTCGCCTATTATGTGGTTGGGATTGAAAATGTTAGTTTTATGTGTTTTGTTTTACCCGTTTAGTGAAAGGATTTTAGAAAATGAAGTTTGTTCGGTTTTCCTTATTTTTTTATTTTCTATAAATAAAATGCTGTTTTATTCTTTTTGTGACACATTATATCTATTATTTTATGTGTTAATAAGTCAATACTTGAAGTTACTGAGGATTCCACATTACTTTAAAGGTAGCATAATTCCTCCCGATTATGAAAAGACATTCTTATTTAAGTGGAGTACAAAGTACGCCAAGCGACCAGTTATGTGAAATAAAATCTAGCGACCAGTTAAGGGTTAAACTAAAATACGTCCTAATTACCATTCTAAATTATTATATATATCAAAAAACATGAGTATGAATTGCACTAAAAAAATATCAATAATATCTATGAATAAAAACAAAACTTTACTGCACAATATATTTTGCTATCTGCACCTTTTCCACAACCTACAGTTTAATTTTCTTTACAAAATTAGGAACCTTGTTATTGCTAGATACCAACAGCTCATCAGAAGATGAATCAGATGCTGAAAGCGACAATCCATTTATTATGGTTATTAACCAAAAAGAAACACCAAGATTCTGGTAATCTCGTTGAGGAAAACCACCTATTTAAAATATTATTTCTTCAAACCTTAACTTTTTTCAAAAAAAGTTTACTGAATAAAATTAAATGTTGCAACCATGTATACGCCGCGTTCGAGCAACAGGGAACGGTACTACGAAAAGGAGATGGGGAATACGCAACTAGACTGCAGAAGAACCTGGGCTGGCTTCAGACGCGTGTCTGTAATTATTCACTATCCAATTTTCATTTTTATTTTGCATTAAATTGATTGTTCATTACAATTTGTTATTAGTGTGTGTGTCAAGGTGGATTACAGGTCAGTTGAATAACTGTTATTTTGTTTTTGAGAGTTCAATTATTTATATAAGTATCATTTGTTTCATTTTTATGTTTTTTGGTTTGTTTATAACATTTTTTTATAACATGTGCATTGTTCATGTATTTAACCAAAATCGTTTCATGCTGTAAACAACACAGATAAACAGTTAATTAAAACCTAAGAAATTATGTGCTGTCTTTTTGTGCTGAGATTTTGATTTTCTGTATTCAGAGCGTGTATTAGGGCCTTGTTCAATTTACTAACATTTTCCTACCTTGACGAGAGAATATCCTAACAAATTGAGAAAAATCAATCTAGAGATATTGGCTCAAAAACAACTATAGCTGGGTAGCATCCCGTATGGGACCTCTGTACCTTCCGGCAGACCGGCTTACTAACAAAAACTCTTTAGTATTGATTATAGGTAGTGTTGATTGAATGTAGTGTGTGTAATTAAAATTTTAGCACAAGAACAGGGGCGGTACCTAGTTTCAACTTTTATTGAATTAATAACTCACAATTATTATTAAAATTACACAGTATGTTCCGATTTTTGAGGAATGTTCGATCGAGGGTTTCTCTGCCGTTCTCTTTCCCCTCGAGAATTCTAGGTCGAGAACGGTACGATTTACTTTAATAATAAAGTAGACATTTCACAAATTTTTCGTTTCTTTTATATATCACAACTTTCCTTAAATTTCCCAAATATTTGCTATGACGGGCGCATGTCCAGTACGTAAAATTGAGTAAGTTTCCACAACGTAGGTCATATTTGTTTTTCATTTCATTTTTCAGAAGATTTGTTGTTTTAAAGGTTATAAAAATTCTCATCGTTCAATCTTACTGAACGAACCTGGGTATGTTATATTACATCGTCACATCAAAAGTATCGAAAAGAACGAGAATTTACACTTTTTAACGAATTAAGCGCACCCTTTTCGTCACTTTCTATGAAATGTTCCATACTTCACAGAAATAAGCAACTCCTAACATTAAAGAAATTTACAGAGGTCTGTTCAACCGGCCTAAAAACTGTCTTAAGAACGGTTTCGCAACCGCTCTGCATACGAATTTCAGATTCTACGCAAAATTTTACGTTTTGCGCAGAATGCTGACGGTGAACTGGGTTGGAACAAAGCTTTTATCAAGTTTTATGTCACAATAAAAAAAAAACATGTGAGCAACGCCAGTTTGCTAAGAGAGGGGAAAGATATATTCTGAAAATCGCTCAGAAAACATATTCGTACAGACAAGAAATATATCGCCGGGATATATATACAGTGTGATTCTTTAAGTGTGCAAAATATGGGATTTTTTTTTAGTAATACCACAACCCAAATACAAACAAGACCAAAAGTTGGTGCATGTCTGATAATCATATTAGGTGCACTTAGAATGGTAGGGTAGCTCAAACAATATCAAAGCTGGTACTGTAAAGTACCCTTATTTTAGAAAATTCAGCAAAATGTTATACTTAGAGAAAAGTTGTTTGGAAGTAAAACTTATGCCTAAATATCAAAATATGGCTTCCTACCTATTTTTTTATTTTCTTTCGAAAAAAATCTATAATTTCTATATTTTTTTTATTTTTCATATCCGCCCTTAATACTTTCAAAAATTAATTAAAATCAAATCAATTTTACATAACTTTGTTCAAATTCAAGCATATTTGTAAAATTAACTTAGATTTTTAATTTTTAATGGAATCACAAAATTCATGTTTGTTGCAATGATATTCAACACAACTTTAAAATGTCGCCATTTTTTTTTTTACAAGTTAAATCATTACTATTGTCCGTCGATTTTAATCTGATACTCGGACGGAATGTGAGCTGGTGGCTCCTTACATTAGAACGCCAATGGTTACCTGACGTCCAACCTGTTTTTGCCATATGAAACACCCCCTCGATCCTCATACGGAAAGTTTCAGTTAAAAATCGACGAACAATAATGATAATAGCCATATCACAAAAACTCTCCTTAAATTGCAAACCTTTTATTTTATTTAGGTAAATATAAGTAGAATTTTGATATTTTTTGAGCCACCCTGTATGCTGTTTGACTTGCAACCATTCTAAGTGCACCTAATATGATTATCAGATATGCACCAACTTTTGGCCTTGTTTTTTTTTGATTGTGCTTTTACTAGAAAACAATCCCATATGTTGCACACTTAAGTAATGGCATTGTATATATTATAGCATTAATACGCAGCAACTTGCACTTTTTAAAGCAAAGCGATGTTTTTGGATATCCTGTTCACAATCCGATGTCCACAGGCGCAGGAAAAAATTTATCACCTTTTCCTATCAAATAGCATTGAAAGGTGATTTTACCTGTACCTACCTGTGGACATCGGATTGTGAACGGATAATAATATATATTATACTAGCTGAACCGGCGAACTTCGTACCGCCTATGAATTATTAAATACCTATTAAAGTTGTGTTAACGTATCTAGTAGATGAATTAAATTCAGTTTTTTTCAATGGTGAATTTGGCCTTGGTTGAAGAAAACTAATGTTTACTCTCTGGATCAGAAATCACCTAAAATTAAAATTCTACATCA